CCTCCTTGAGACCTCCTAAACATGTTATGAATTTGAAGTGTCTCTGCATTATTCAAGTGAGGCAGGAAAAAGTTACTCTAAGTGATCTTTCTTTTTTATATTTTATTTGAATACAATTCTAATAATTCGACATTTATGCAGTAAAGGGTTAACCCCGCAGCCTCAGGTTACTCAAGCCTTGCACTTTTCAAAGAGAGGTGTCTTCAGGTATTGGCCCTTCCTTAACTAGCTCCTGGGAAATGACCTGAGCCCTTGGAATTTCCAGTTTGATAATAGTGTTCTAGTATGCCTGAGGCCTTGGGCTGCATTTTGTTAGTTTGATGAGATAGTTTATGCTAACAGTATGACTCATGGTGAATGTCTGTTTTTGAATGGCTGAAGCCCTGGGCCATGAGGTATCACTACACCTCTGGGGTCTTGAGACTTAATAGGTAAGGTCAGTCACATGTGTGATGCGTGTCTGTGTGACTGACTTCCAGTAAAAACCTTGGACACCAAGGATTGGTTGAGCTTCCCTGGTTGGCAATATTTTACACATGCTGTCACACATTTCTGGGAGAATTAAGCATGTCCCCATGTGACTCAACGAGGAAGAGGCACCAGGAAACTTGTGACTGAAATGATAAAGTAATAGGGTACTGCAAATAACAAAGCCTAATATAACGAATTGACTTAGGGTTGGGGAGAAGACTTCAGGGAGTCGGGAGACAAATATCACAGACTGGAAAACTGGTGACTTGTTTGGTGGTGTATTAGGGTTCTCTAGAGGGGCAGAACTAATAAGACAGATGTATATATGAAGGGGAGTTTCTTAGGAAAACTGACTCACACAATCACAAGGTGAAGTCCCATACAGGCTGTCTGCAAGCTGAGGAGCCAGGAAGCCAGTCTGAGTTCCAAAACTTCAAAAGTAGAGAAGCAGACAGTGCAGCCCTTCAGTCTGTGGCTGAAGGCCTCATAGTCCCTGGCAAGTCCAAGAGTCCAAAAGCTGAAGAACTTGAAGTGTGATGTTCCAGGGCAGAAAACATGCAGCACAGGAGAAAGATGGAGGCCAGAAGACTTAGCCAGTGTAGTCCTTCCACGTTCCTCTGCCTGCTTTTATCCTAGGTATGCTGGCAGCTGATCAGATGAGTGCCCAACTGGATCTGCCTCTTGAGCCCACCGACTCAAATGTTAATCTTCTTTGGCAATACCCTCATAGACACACCCAGGAACAATATTTTGCATTATTTTATTATTTTTTTTTTTTTTGAGACAGAGTCTTGCTCTGTCGCCCAGGCTGGGGTGCAGTGGCCGGATCTCAGCTCACTGCAAGCTCCGCCTCCCAGGTTTAGACCATTCTCCTGCCTCAGCCTCCCGAGTAGCTGGGACTACAGGCGCCCGCCACCTCGCCCGGCTAGTTTTTTGTATTTTTTAGTAGAGACGGGGTTTCACCGTGTTAGCCAGGATGGTCTCGATCTCCTGACCTCGTGATCCGCCCGTCTCGGCCTCCCAAAGTGCTGGGATTACAGGCTTGAGCCACCGCGCCCGGCCATATTTTGCATTATTTAATCCAATCAAGTTGACACTCAATATTAACCATCACAAGCGGTAACAAAATATTTGGTCAAACTGTCTACAGCTGTCTTTGGAAAGAAGACCAAATGCTGATTGAGGCGGTAGCCTTAGGGGAAATGCTAGGAGAAAAATTAAAAATTTGGCATGGGATGGCTCTTTCTTGCTGTGTTCAGCAAGGTCCTGGAAGAAAGAAATGTATTTTTTTCTTGACTGAAACTAGCTTGCAGAGATGGAGGAAAATATCATCTTGTTAATGAAAACACTTGCTTTTCTTTACAGTTTTATCACCCTTAAAACAATATAGTTGTTCAGTTTTTACTGTTTTAAACTTTACACAAATGGAATCATGTTGATGGCATCCCTCTGTGATTCGCTTCTTTTGCTCTATGCTATGTCTGTGATATTCATCCATGTTGTGGTTAGCTATTTCCTTCATTTTCACCATTGTGTAGAATTCTATTGTTTCAACACAAATGCCATGGTAGAATTTAACCATTCTACCATTGCTGAATAATTGGTTCATTTCTAACTTTTGGATATTGCAGTGCTGCTATGAACACTAAAAAATTTTTTTCTAGGCCATCTTCCTGACTGGGCAGAACTTTCTTGTACATGCTTTCTAGGATACATGTTCAGTAGTTTTCCCGAGGCATTGTATTAGTTAGGGTCCTGACAGGGCAAAAAATAACTGTAATGAAAGACAGCCTGCAAAGATGTATACTTCAGAGTGCAATTGCTGGGTTTTGAGCACGTTTATCTTTATTTACTGAAGGACAAATTTTTCCAGTGATTGTTTTCAATGTAAGAGCTGACATCATCACCAAAATTTAGTATCATTAGATCATTTCATTTTTGTAAATAAGGTAGAGATGTAATGATACCTCCTTGTAGTTTTAGTTTTTACTTCCCAAATATTAATATGGCTGGGAATATTTTCATGTTTCTTGGTCATCTGGATTTCCTTTCATTTGAAATGCCATATAAAGTCTTTTGTACAAATTTCTATTGACTGTCTTTTTCTTAGTGATTCATAGGGATCATTTATATACTCTGGACACTAGTTTTTCACCAGTTATATATATTGCAAATATGGTGGTTCTTTATATTAGGTTTATATTAGGTTCACTAAGTAGGTAAAATTATGCATGCTTATTACCAGTCCTTGTAGTTTTGCTGTATTTTCTTCAAATGCCCCAAATCAAAATTATAATAAAAAGAAAATGGGTTGGATATAATAGACAAAACAGGTAGTAACGAATGTGAAGAAAATTCTGGGCAGAGAAAATAAAAATGAAGGCATAAGAGGGAGGAAGAGTGGAAAAGTAAGGAAACCATCTCTATTAGATCTATAAAAGTTTTAAATTTGATTTCAAATGATTATTAAATATTACTAAATGATTAACATTCAACTAAATAAATCCTTAAATGAAAATAATTTAGCATTTAATCTAATATTGAAGATAATAAAAATAAACTTAAGGCAAGACAGAAAATAATTCAATATGGTATTATTTACCTTTCAGTATATTAAATATTTCATTGAACTTAAATTTGTACAGAATTTACATAAGTAAATCACACGATCAAGAACCATAACACTACAACTTTGTATTTGCCACAGTGTATAATAACATCAGTCATGGGATTGGATTGGCATGCTAACAGGCATTAAGCCTAATTTAAACAATCTAGTAATTAAAAGTCCAGTTACCACTTTGCCAAAGTCTATGAGTTCTTAATTAAGCTATTCCTAAAATATTATAATATATAAAATATATATTTAGATCATAAGCTAAAATATGAAAAGCAAGAGGAGAGAAAACAAAAATATAAGAGAACAAAAGATTTAGCTCCTTAAAGAAGTAACATAAAATGGCTTCCAACTTCATGTTACAATTAAATAGTAATAATAACTATTATTATATTATTGAGACAGGGTCTCGCTCTTCATCCAGGCTGCAGTGTAGTGGCAAGATCTTGGCTGACTGCAGCCTCGACCTCCCAGGTTCAAGAGGTTCTCCTGCCTCAGCCATCTGAGTAGCTGGGATTACAGGCATGTGCCACCAAGCCTGGCTAATTTTTTTTTTTTTTCGTTTTAGTAGAGATAGGGTCTTATCATGTTGGCCAGGCTGGTCTCAAACTCCTGACCTCAAGTGATCTGCCCACCTCAGCCTCCCAAAGTGCTGTCCTTACAGGTATGAGCCATTGTGCCTAGCCTAAATAATTATTTTTTGAGAAGAACTCATAGATAGCACAAAAGTATTTGGAGAAACTACTTAAGCTAACTACTATTAAGCTCTCTTCTTTCACAAATATTAATAAAAATGTTGATATAAATGTAACTAAGATATGTAATGTGTTTTAATACACATTAATCTTTTGAATTACACATTTTCTCTTGAAGATTATTAAAAAATGACTGTACAATTCATCCTTCTTTATAGATTTGTGGAGAGTACCAACATAATTGACAAGAAATGAAATACTGCCATTTAAAGGTCCTGTATTAAAATAAAACTACTTTGAATCATCTTAAGACTAAATATTTTAAAAAGTGATTCAAGTGCTTATTCATAAGATAACGGAATTCTAAATAAGAAAAGTCAGATTAAAAATTGTATTTTAGGCCGGGCACGGTGGCTCAAGCCTGTAATCCCAGCACTTTGGGAGGCCGAGACGGGCGGATCACGAGGTCAGGAGATCGAGACCATCCTGGCTAACACGGTGAAACCCCGTCTCTACTAAAAAATACAAAAAACTAGCCGGGCGAGGTGGCGGGCGCCTGTAGTCCCAGCTACTCGGGAGGCTGAGGCAGGAGAATGGCGTAGACCCGGGAGGCGGAGCTTGCAGTGAGCTGAGATGCAGCCACTGCACTCCAGCCTGGGCGACAGAGCAAGACTCCGTCTCAAAAAAAAAAAAAAAAATTGTATTTTAGGCAAAAACCATTTTAATGCAGATAATAACTGTGATATTTATTTTCCTGAAGAAAACCACTTGTACTAGTTATGTTAATACTCTTCACAGAACTTAAGATAAATTTTAATTATGAATGCTCATGAAGTATTTAGATACTAGGATCAATGCCAACAAAGTAGTTAAGTGCTGAAAAATTCTTATGATAATATAGGTTTGTGTAAATCTTTGAGAGCCCTTACAAATATGTTTTTATATTCAGTATAAAAATAATAAAAAAAACCACCTTCTTATCTCATTCCTAATTTCCCTTTTAAAAATTATCTCATAACAGGATTAATTTCCAATTGATGTATAATGGAAGTAAAATTCTCATGGTTATAAAAAAGATATACGCAATCAATATATATATATCTTAGAAAAGTAAACATCATCTGAGGAAGGATTATTGCACTTGCCTTCACTAAATAAATCTGCAAACTTAAAATCAGAAAGAACAAATTCATTGATTATAAAATAACAAGTTTCAATTTAAAGTTAATGATAAAATGTTCAATGTTTACTTAAAAAATATATCAAGGGTATGTTTGGGATTGTTTGGTTTTATTTTCTTTGATGAGTACTTTGTCATCAATCCTGGCCTAGAATTAAAAGGAACACACAATTAAAATGCAGGAAGAGATTCTAGAAAATAATTCATTTCTAACATTGATTACTTAATAATTTATAAAATGATTGAATTTTCATATTGTAGCCAGCTTTATTAAAGCTCTAATTAGCCGTACCTTTTTGTTTTTGTTACAGCCTTCTGTACTCCACTTGAGCTACCTTTAGAGGAAAGAAAAGTCAAGAAATTCCATAATGAATAATATGAGATAATTAAAAAGTTGTACAAAAATTTAAAAAGTTAAAACTTATTGATTAAAGATAATAACTTTCGTGGTACTATATAGTTCATATGGAAACACACCAAAAACTATAATTTCTTTGTAATTTACTAATTTTATTAGCATTACACTTAATTTTATTGGTGAAATTTGGGTAGAGTCAGCACTACCAAAAAATAAGTTAAAGAGGCTTTCTGGTTATGCAGTTATAGTTAATTTACCACTGTGTCTTCGCAGATACTCTCTGAAGGAATTTCTTTTTTGATTAGATCACTCAGCTCCTTAAACCTTTGAGTTCATTCTGTGCTAAATCAAGATCAAACCAAAGTTTTCCCCAAATTCACAATCTATAGGCTTGAGTTAATTCTAACCTATGGCAAGGTAACCAACATTTCCCTAAATGGTGGCATACACAAACTACCCATTTAATAGTATATGTTTCAGATTTAACAATCTCATTAATTTTAATAAAACATATTCCTAGAAAATCATGCAGTTTAAAACGACTACACACTCACCAGTACTTCTGGAGCTTTCTTTGGGTTGATTAACTGGGTTAACTTTGTCATTTCTTAATTCTTGGATAAAACTTTTATTTAAGCAAACATCCACATGCACATTGAACAGGGTTAGATCTGAAGTCTTTTGTTCTACATTACAAACAGGACAAACTAGAGCTTGGCCTGTTATCACTTCACATAAGTAAGGCTGGCAGGATTCTTGTCTGCTTAATAATCCAACATCTTCGTTTTCCAACGAAACAGTGCAAGAATAATTCTGATGACAGTGTTCAATATTAAAAGACTTGCCTGGGAGATTAGAACATTCTCCCTTGATATGCTTATTACTTAAAGCATCTATGCTTTCTGCTTTAGATGAGTTATCTATAGTATCTACTAAAGCTACACAATCTACTGAAGACACTTCTTTAATTTTTGGATGGGCTTCATAATCTTGCTTCTCACAAAGTGAAGAAGCAGGAACATTTTCTTTCTTGTTAACTCTGGTAGCAGAAACATGTGAACACGAGAACACTTTAGAGTTTTCACTGATTGAAGATCCATCAAGACATGCATCTACATGTTTATTAAAGGCTTCCAGACTGATGCACCCTTGTGCCCTAAAGCAAACAGGACAGGTAAATATCTGACAGTTATCTGAATTCTCTGGTATTTCCAAATTCTCACTCATCTTCTTCTTTAAAACTTGGAATGGTTGTGATGTCTGGAAACTTTGTTTATTCACAGTTTCACATTTAAATGTATCTTGGTGACTCCATTTCCTTTCTGATCGTTTTTTATCAAAGAAACTCTTCTTATGAGACATTTCTAGAGGTTTTACAAACTGATCTTTGTCTGTTTTCTCTAGTATACACCCAGTGGCTGACAGGGCTTGGTTTCCCGCCTGTAAAAAGCCAATAATGCTCCTTTGTTGGTGTTTCCTGTCTTCTTCATTGGGAAAACTAGATATCCGAACACCTAAATTAAACCAATCACAATCAATTTCATATTGAACAAAGCCAATTCACTCATAATGCATAAAAACATTTTGTCTAGTGCTATGACATATGCAAAAGGTTGGCTAGAGAGAAAAAATAAGTCACATTTCAAAGCTGTTATTATAAGTACAAATTTACCTTCCTTTATAAAAGAATATCATTAAATATTAACTATCTATTTGGAGTTAGCATAATGATGTAGGATTTTAATTCATATATGACACATACCATTACATTAATACCAGTAACTAACCGGAGTCAACTATACAGACTCTTTAGCTCTTTTTTTTCTAATAAACTTTATTTTTTAGAGAAATTTTAGGTTCACAGCAAAATTGAGCAGAAGGTACAATGAGTTCCCATAGATTCCCTTCCCCTACACAAGCATACCCCTCCACCCCAACTATCAACATGTGGCACCAGAGTGGTACATTTGTTACAATCTATAAACCTACATTGCCACAACATTGTCACTCAAAGTCCATAGCTTACATAGGGTTCACCCTTGGAATACATTCTGTGTGCCTGGACAAATTTATAATGACGTGTCATTATAGAATCATACAGAATCATTTCATTGCCCTAAAATTCCTGTGTTTTTGCCTATTCATCTCTTCTTCTCCTCTTAACTCCTGACAATCAATTATTTTTTTATGGTACTCATATTTGCCTTTTCCAGAATCTCATATGGTTGGAATCATACAGTATTTAGTTTTTTCAGATTGGCTTCTTTTTTTTTTTTTTTTTTTTTTGAGACGGAGTCTCGCTGTGTCTCCCAGGCTGGAGTGCAGTGGCGTGATCTTGGCTCACTGCAAGCTCCGTCTCCCGGGTTCACGCCATTCTCCCGCCTCAGCCTCCCAAGTAGCTGAGACTACAGGCGCCCGCCACCACGCCCGGCTAGTTTTTTGTATTTTTAGTAGAGACGGGGTTTCACCATGTTAGCCAGGATAGTCTCGATCTCCTGACCTCGTGATCCACCCTCCTCGGCCTCCCAAAGTGCTGGGATTACAGGCTTGAGCCACCGCGCCCGGCCCAGATTGGCTTCTTTTACTTAACATTATGCAGTTAAGTTTCATTCATGTCTTTTCATGAATTGATAATTCACTTCTTTTCTGTGCTGAATATTATTCCACTGTCTGTATGTACCACAGTTTATTTATTCATTCATGTACCGAAGGACATTTTGCTTGTTTCAAAGTTTTGGCAATTATGAATTAAGCTTCTATAGATACCTGCTCTTGGCTTTTTTTTTTTTTTTTTTTTTTTTTTGAGGTAGAGTTTCACTCTTGTTGCCCAGGCTGGAGTGCAATGGTGTGATCTCAGCTCACTGCAACCTCCACTTCCCAGGTTCAAGCGATTCTCCTGCCTCTGCCTCTCGAGCAGCTGGGATTACAGGTGCCCACCACCGTGTCCAGCTGATTTTTTGTAGTTTTAGTAGAGATGGGGTTTCACTATGTTGGCCAGGCTGGTCTCAAACTCCTGACCTCAGGCGATCCACCTGCCTTGACCTCCCAAAGTGTTGGGATTACAGGTGTGAGACACCACGCCTGGCCTGGCTCTTTGAATTAACACTTTATTCAGTAGATTTCAGTGTGTGCTATATCTTTCATAAATGAAAGTATGGCTAGTGACCCACTCCTTACTAGTAAAATGTGCATTTGGAGTGCTGATCCATATACATACTTTCAACCAGTTCACTTTGGAAACATGGCTTGTTAGTTTTTACCATGTAATGGCTTGGAGATGTGATTTCACAATGTCACAATCCTTTATCTGTAATTCCAAAATCCAAAAAGTTCTGAAAATTGTAAGCAACAAGTGATATTTGATGACTAAATTAAAGTCATCAGTCTTTACAGTCTCTGAATATTTTGTTTTGCTATAGAAATATTAATATGTTTGAATAGGGGGTGTTGCCCCAGATCCACAAAGAAGTATTACAACATAATATACTCTACATGCACTGAATTTGCTTTCCAAAATCTGAAAAGTTTTGAATTTTGAAAGATACCTGGCCACAAGAATTTCATTAAGTTATGAGGAAAAGAACAACTTTAATTGGCTCTTACTGGAATTAAACTAATGATCATGGCTTCACACATCAGGGTCTAATAATTAAGATAAATGGCAGCAGCAAAGGAAGAACTTCCTAAACAGATTTAAGAAATAAAATGAAGGCGAGAATACAGGTGCTCATTGACTTACAATAGGATTGTATCCAGATAAACCCACTGTAAATTGAAAACATAATAAGTCAACTTACAATACTTTCAATTTATGACAGGTTTATCAGGATGTAACCGCACTGTAAGTCAAAAGTGTACTGAAAGCATACAACTTTCCCACCATCGCAAAGTTGAAAAATCATTAAGTTGAACCATTGTTAAGTTGGGGGCCCCCTGTATTCCCAAAGTGAATTATTTAGGAAAACCTAGCAGATTTAAGGAAAAACAAAAAAATAAAAAAGTCATACCCATAAGTCTTAATCTCAAGGGATGCGGAAAATCAGCATCAATTTCTGTTTTTAGCAATTCCTTAGCAATGGCAAATATTTCTTCTGCAGTAGAAACAACAGATGAAACTGTAGATGCACGAGTTTTTACTTCAAAATTCACATTCTTCAACTTAATGGTAACAGTTCTACCCTACAACATATACAATATGTTATTTATTTATTTATGAGACAGAGTCTCTCTCTGTTGTCCACGCTGGAGTGCGCTGGCACAGCTGTAGCTCACTGCAGCCTTCAACTTCTGGGCTCAAGTGATCCTCTTGCCTCAGCCTCTTGAGTAGCTAAGATTACAAGTGCATGTCACTACACCAGCTAATTTTTTATTTTTTGTAGAGATGGAGTCTCACTACGTTACCTAGGCTAGTCTCAAATTCCTGGCCTCAAGCGATCCTGGCCTTGCAAAGTGTTGCAATTATAGGCATGAGCTACTGCACCCACCAGAATACATTATTCTGTATGACTTCCTAACTTCTAGAAAAAAGTCATTTACATGTTAGAAAAATTCAGAAAGGTTTATGGACATAAGATTATGGAAGTATAACCAATTATTTATAAAACATGGTGATAAAAATACCACAAAGAATAAGAGGCCGGGCGTGGTGGCTCGCACCTGTAATCCCAGCACTTTGGGAGGCCGAGGAGGGCGGATCACGAGGTCAGGAGTTCAAGACCAGCCTGGCCAATATGGTGAAACCCTGTCTCTACTAAAAATACAAAAATTAGCTGGGCATGACGGCAGGCGCCTTTAATCCCAGCGACTGGGGAGACTGAGGCAGGAGAACAGTTTGAAGCTGGGAGGCAGAGGTTGCATTGAGCCGAGATCATACCATTGCACTCCAGCCTGGGTGACAGGGCAAGACTCCACCTCAAAAAAAATAAAATAAAATAAAATAAAATACCATTTCAGCCAAAAACTTTTACTCCCCTTTCCAAACACAAGCTGAAATCCCATTTTATTTTGTTTTTGAGATGGGGGTCTCGCTCTATTGCCCAGGCTGGAGTACAGTGGCGTGATCATGGCTCACTGCAGCTTCGACCTCCCAGGCTCATGTTATCCTCCTGCCTCAGCCTCCCAAGTAGCTGGGACTACACGCTCGTGCCACCACGTCCAGCTAATTTTAAAATTTTTTTTGTAGAGACGTGATTTCACTGGGTTGTCCAGGCTGGTCTTGAACTCGTGGGCTCAAGCAATCTCTTGCCTCAGCTTCCTAATGTGCTGAGATTACAGCCATGAGCCACTATGCCTAACCTAAAATCCCATTTTAGCCAGTAATTATTATTCCCCTTCCCAACTGAATTTTTTTGTTTGTTTTTTGTTTTAGACAGAGTCTCACTCTGTTGCCCAGGCTGGAGTGCAGTGGCGGGATCTCGGCTCACTGCAGCCTCTGCCTTCCAGGTTCCAATGGTTCTCCTGCCTCAGCCTCCAGAGTAGCTGGGATTACAGGTGCCCGCCACCATTTTTAGTAGGGATGGGGTTTCACCATGTTGGCCAGGCTGATCTCAAACTCCTGACCTCAGGTGATCCACCCACCTCAGCCTCCCAAAAAGCTGGGATTACAGGAATGAGCCACTGTGCCTGGCCCCACAACTGAATTTTTATGAAAGGCCATTACATTAAGGGAAAGGTTAAATGATCACTTTTACTTTTACTGAATCTCTTTTGGAGGTTGATTCATTATCTACAAAGGAAGGAAAAAAATATTTCTAAAAGTGTCTCACTGAAAAGGACTTATGAATAGCTCACACTTATTGTGTGCCTTCTGCATTGTCAGATGCTATGCCAAACAATTTAAATGTAAGAATTCCTTTTACAGTTAAGTGTTTTATGAGTGCAGGGTTTCAGTGGAGACAATGAAACAGTTCTAGAGATGGGTGGTGGTGATGGTTATAAAACAGTATGAACTGTACACTTAAAAATGGTTAAAATGGTAAATTTTATGTTATGTATATTTTAGTATCCCCTGGAGGAGGAAGTTAATTCCTGCTCTCTCTCATCTCAGGGTAGATTAGATTTACTGACTTACTTCCAAAGGGAAAAACACTAACTTCACAGTGGAGAAGCCTAGCAAACAGTAACCAAGTAAGGAAAGTTAATATCATCCATGACATCATGTGGCTATTATATACCCCATGATAGGATGTTATGAGAAGGGCACTTCCTCTTTGTGATATTCTTTCTAAAAATCCATAACCCTGATCTAATTATGAGAAAATGATCAGACAAACCCAGATTGGGCGACATTCTGCAGAATACCTGTATGGTAATACCCAAGATTGTCGAGGTCATGAAAAAGAAGGAAAAACTAAGAAACTATCACAGACCAGGAAACCGGAGAGACATGACAGCTAAATGCAATGTAGTCCCCTGGATTGAACTCTAGAAGGCAGGGAGGATATTAATGGAAAAATTAGTAAACTCCAAATAAAGTCTAGGGTTGACTTAATAATTGGCAATGAATGAAATATCAGTTTCTTACTTTTGACAAATGTACTCTGGTAATATGTTAATAATGGAGGAAACCAGGTGAGGAGTATGCTGAAATTCTATTATTTTTGTGACTTTTCTGGAAACCTAAAATGATCATAAAATTAAATGTTTATTAAACATTTTTTAAAAAGAAAATTATTTAAACTCAAGGTATGATAGAGAAGGACTATGAGAAAAATACTCATAAGATATCCCACTCTTGGTACTAATTTTTTTAAAACAAATTTTTCACTGATTAGCGTAATAGTTTTACTGATGCATTATATGAACATAGTAAGTTATCACATGTACCTCATAGTTTTGATCTTTGTAAAGATCAAATAAGTGTACTTGGGATATCTACCACCTTAAATATTTGCATTTTCTTTATGCTAGAAACATGCAAATTGTTCTCTTCTAGCTATTCTGATATGTAAAATAGATTACTGTACACTATAATCACTTTACTGATCTATTGAACACTAGGTCTCATTTCTTCTATCAAACCAGGTATTTGTACCTGTGTAGCAATTTAAAAATACCTTTTTATTACGCTTTGTACTGATTCTGCCTCTGGTTTGAGAGTGTTGGGAATACTCTAAATATAAATTGTTGTGAGTGAAGATTATAAAATAGCAAGTTCAAAGTCTTATAGGTTTTGTTGTCCTGTGTTAAGCAACCTGGATTACAAGCTTGAAACAAAATGGCTATTTTAGAAAGTCATTGTCTAAGTAAGAAAAACATTAAAGGATGATTGGAAAGACATTTGTAATATGTGAATACAATTCTCTGCAAATTCTTTCTTCTGCCTTATTCTCTAATGCCAGTGTAACTCTGGTTTTAACTTATTCAAATGTACTCCTGAGGTACAGAAGTAAAGTCCTCTGAATTATACTGAACCACACTATCCTCACAAGTTGCTTCTTCATAGAATCACCCCATCACAGACTCCAGATATAGGTCAGAATTGGATTTGTATCTGACTGTTGGTGATAGGACTGCACTATTCTGACGTTTATTAATTTGTATTCACCTTTAAGAATAATGTGTAATCTAACTCTAGCTTTAAGGTAGCATTTTATTATTAAAAAACTTAAAAACTAAGGACATCATATCAAAATAAAGCACCTTAAGTCCTTCTTTCTGTAGATCTCGAGCAAGTTCACTGCAAAGTTCTTCACATAGGCTGTATTGTTCTTCCGCTTTATTTATCTCACTGAATGTCCTAGAAAGATAAGAATAATTTTGGTGCACAAAGTAAACTATAATCCAGGATAATTTGGAAATGGTATGCATGTTTATATGGCTAGCATGAAGTTATATTTTCTGCAGTACAAAATAAAGTTTTCAAATGAACTAAAATTTAATTAAGTAAAAACATCTAAGATCTATATAAATAATGGAAACCCACTTAAACAGGAAAGCTTGAGTAGCCAAGAAACAATTTTATGCTGTTGCTCTATTATATCACAAAAAAGATAATTAAAATTACCAACAGATAATGGTAATGCCTCCAGAACTTAAAACAGATTAGGGTATATGTATATATAGACTTTGTTACAGAGGATTATGTTAAGAAAGTCCAAATGAGAACATCATTCCAATTACTGTACATGGATTTTCTGGATGAGAAACACCTTTAAGTAGATTTAAGGGGTTGGCTCATGGAACCTAGGCAGAGTTGTTTAATAGACAGCTGAAAATAGAAGGCTGATAAGACTAAATGTAGGTATTTTGAATTCATCTACAAAAGAGTGTTGAAATAAGTTGACAAGTGATATTAACATAAAAGAGGATAATACAAAGAGACCAGAATGATGAGTATGGACCCTGAGCAAGTAACTCTTCAGTAAAGAGTCCCCTTTCTACTTCTAACCTTAACCTCAGCTACTCAGTTCTCTTTCCTAGTGGCAACCAATGTGTCAGCTTCTTATTCTTAAGAATTCCTTAGAAATATTCCACGTATACGGGCGCCTGTAGTCCCAGCTACTCGGGAGGCTGAGGCAGGAGAAGGGCGAGAACCCGGGAGGCGAAGCTTGCAGTGAGCTACGATCATGCCACTGCACTCCAGCCTGGGCAACAGAGACTCCGTCTCAAAAAAAAAAAAAAAAGAAATATTCCAAGTATATATATATATATATATAAAATAAGCAAATCATTAGACATTTTCCTCTCATGTTTTATATAAACAGTAGAATTTTAGATACATTGTTTAATACCCTGCTTTTCTCAATTTATCATGGTGAGAGTTCCCCATGAGTAAATGATTTCCTCATTTTTATATAGCAGCATAATATTCTAATTTAATGATGTAAGGTAATTTAACCAATTCTCTTTTTTTTTTTTTTTTTTTTTTTTGAGACGGAGTCTCGCTTTGTCACCCAGGCTGGAGTGCAGTGGCCGGATCTCAGCTCACTGTAAGCTCCGCCTCCCGGGTTCACGCCATTCTCCTGCCTCAGCCTCCTGAGTAGCTGGGACTACAGGCGCCTGCCACCTCGCCCGGCTAAGTTTTTGTATTTTTAGTAGAGACGGGGTTTCACTGTGTTACCCAGGATGGTCTCGATCTCCTGACCTCGTGATCCGCCCGTCTCGGCCTCCCAAAGTGCTGGGATTACAGGCTTGAGCCACCGCGCCCGGCCAATTTAACCAATTCTCTATTCATGGATATTACAGTTTTTTTCTATCATAAAAAATGCAATAAGTAACCCTGTATATATGTAAAATGACATGTGACTACATCTCTGGAATTAATTCTTAATAAAAGAATTATGGCATCAAATACATGTATCTGTGATTTTGACACATATTATCAAATTTCTTACCCCCTGTGGTAGGCTAGATAATGGTCCCTAAAAACGTCCACATCCTAATCCCTGAAATCTGTGAACCTAGTATCTTATATGACAAAAGGGACTTAGTAGATGTGATTAAATTCTGACTGAGGATTATTCTGGAATGTTCAGCTTTGCCCAATGTAATCCCAAGGGTCCTTATAAGAAGGAGGCAGGAGGGTTACAGTCAGAGAAAGAAGTTGCTGAGGCTATGAGCCAAAGCTTCTATGGCCTCTAGAACCTTTTCATAAAGAAATGGACTCTCTCCCAGAGCTTCTAGAAGAAATGGAGCTCTACCAATACATTAACTTTAGAACCACTGACTTTCAGAATGATAGAGAATAAATCTGTGTTGTTTTAAGCCACTAAATTTGTAGAAACTTGTTTTAATAGCAATAAAAAAAACCTAATGTACTCCCTCTAAAGTTTACACATTTTCATTCCTACAGTTTTGCCAACAGAGTATGTTAGAATCTTTGCCAACCTGATTAGTGAAAGAAAGATATCTGAGAGAACTTTCAATCTGTATTTCTTTAATTATAAATGAAAATGGTAATATTTTCACTTGTTTTAAGAGCCATTTGTATTTCCTTTTCTGTTAATTAATTAGACCTTTGTTCATTTTTTCTGTTGGCTTACTGTCCCTTTTTTTATTGATTATAAGAGTTCCTTCTGTATTAGAGAAGTTAGTTTGTGATATAAATTGCAACCTCCTTTCCCCCAACTTCATACCAAATTTGATGTTATACTGCCCATTTTAAAAAGCCAAGAGGAGACAGTTTCCAGAAAAAAAAAAGTGGAGAACACATTCCTGTACATCAAATAGTGCTCCCAATAACAGAGAAAATGGCAGAGAAATTTATCAAATAGGGCAATACTATTTTGCTTTTGGATGCTTTTTTTTAAAATCTCTCTTTGCTTGCTTTCATATGGACCAAAACCTAAAATAGCAATTTTTATCAAAGCCATTTATTATGCTGTCCTGTAAAAGTTATTCAGCTTTTCTGACCACAAATAACATATGTGGAATATGAACACAACCTTGTACTAGGTCAGTGTTTTGTTTTGTCTTGTTTTGATTTTGAGACAGAGTCTTACTCTGTCGCCCAGGCTGCAGTGGAGTGGTGCCATCTCAGCTTACTGCAAACTCCGCCTCCCGGGTTCAAGCAATTCTCTTGCCTCAGCCACCCAAGTAGCTGACATTAAAGGTGTAAGCCACCATGCCGGGCTGATTTTTGTATTTTTAGTAGAGACAGGGTTTTGCCATGTTGGCCAGGCTCATCTAGAACTCCTGGCCTCAAGTGATCTGCCCACCTCAGCCTCCCAAAGTGCTGGGATTACAGGTGCGAGCCACCTTGCCGGGCCCTAGGTCAGTGTTTCTTAAATGTCTCAGTGGAACCTTGCTGCTTTGAGGAGATAATTGAAGGACGTTTCAAACAATGACTTATTTCCCCAAACAGTAAGTTTCCATCATTATTTCGTTTGGTTTTCAAACAAGATTGTAAACCACTAAACTAGATCATCTTTAAGCTCTCTTTCATCAGTAATATTTTACTGTTTAAGCTTCTGCTTAATCATCAATATTGAAATAATTTTAGGAAGAATTCCAATTGTTACTTCTTAAATTTCTGAAGTAAATACTCAATTGTCCTTATAAACAAGCTAGAAATTAAGATATGAAATTCTAAAATGCTTGGTTTTCACTAGGTAGGATTAAAACCAACATTAAAAAATAGCTGAAGTTAATTTCTGAGATTATAGCAACTGAAAATAATAGTCTTATACCAAGGCATTTACTGCAGGGAGTGTAAACTACTAAAAATTGTTATAGTAATTTGCAAATAGATTTCTTATTTCAGTGATATTTACTAAAAATTAATTCAATATTAGTTTAAAATAACACGAATTATGCACAATTAACAATAATTAATAAATAAAACATTACCTCTCAACGCTCATACTCTTCCTCTCTCCATCCCTTGAAATGAAAAAAAAAGACTTTATTTTTCAAAGACTGAGTTGTTTTTAGTTAACGAAGAGGATTTAACATATCAATTACCTTTTAGAGATCTCAAATTTTTTATTAAAATTTATACATCATGAAAAACAGATTTTTATCTAAAAATAAATCAGCAAAGAACATAGACAGGTAAGATGCTAATATGATTATGAATCAAGTCTATATCTATTGAAAAGAACAAACTTGAAAATAGGTAGATATTAGAAATTGCTTCTATTAAAAATCTGACTATCAAAAACCACAACTTATAAAAACAAATAGGAAGTGATAATGTAATATCTTCCAGTTATAAAATATAATTGAATTTTAAATAATTTAAAATCAGTTATCTAGTTTTTGGCTTAGTATATTAACTTCTTTCTCCCACAGCCTATTCATTATTCATTTATACCACTATATAGAACCTCAGTCAGAATTTAGTACACAGCTATAGGATGAAGATTGGGAATCTGAACCACCTAGTTTGGCTGTATTCTAGCTGCTCTGACAGGATTAGTTAAAACCAAAAAGTTGAAATGACATGTAGAGTACTCATTTTCCAAATATTTAGTGAACCTATTATGATTCAAGCACTGTTCTAGAACTTGAGGATACAGTAATGAAGGAAACAGACCAAGTACTTGCCCTTAGGAAATGTATATATCCCATTGGAGAGAGACAGATAAACAAATATAGTAGTAAATATGGAACAGGTCAGAAGGGGAGAAGTACTCTGATTAAAAAGCAAAGCAGAATAGGCGAATAGAGAATATGGGCAGAGGGAAAGGCAGGCTTTGTATTTTTTATTATAAATTACCTATGAATTTCATGTAAAAGCCTTACCTGCATCTCTAAATACCACAAGTTAATATATGTTATGTTACATCAGAACTATATTGTTTTCAAGCACTATGGAAATAAAAAAAATTTTGGATTAAAAATGAAGTTTTATTTCCTGCTATCTTCAAATATAATTATTTATGGTGCTGTGATATCTTTATCTTTCATTATGTCCACTGAAGATTAAAGTCAGCTAACTGTGGACTCAAAAGATTGAAGAGCAGGAAGAGACGAGAAAAGCAATACAACAAGCCTTGCACTCTCTGTAAAATTTAGTAGGCTTAATTGGTCCATCAATTTTACATGCATCCTCATTGATTTTTATTGTTGTCCTTCAGTTTAAATACAAGAATATAAAGGAGTCATTTTGAGGACAGGCTGACAAGGTGATGACAAAATTGTAAAAATAGTGCCCAGTGTTGACTTCCATGATTCCCAGTCTTTTAAAATTTCCTTCTTTTCACCTACTATCCCACAACAATTTACCTTCTACCTCTAGGGTTCCTCTTTTTAAGACCTACATGAAAGAGTGGCAGGGAAGAAAACCCAGGGTATTTCCTCCAGCTGTTCCCTCTTCTAGCCTTTGCATGGCAGGCTCCCTCAGGTCTCTCTGCCTTTGGATGATGGTTGCTAACCCTTCACACTTACTCCCCAGTCATTTTCTATGCCCTCACTCTGCTTTACAATTATTTTCTATCGCTCACACTAGTCTGTAAACTCCATGAGGGCAGGAATTTGTCCTATTCGCTGCTGTTATCCACAGTGCCTAGAATAGTACCTAACACAAAGTAAAGTACTCAGTACTAAATGAATGAATCATTTACAAATCTGGAAAAGAAAAGAAATGTAGTTTAAAGCTTTCAAAGAATCATTACATCTCCTTCCTTAAAGGGTGAATTACAGAATATGGCCATCTTTCTTTTCACAACAACCTGACTACTGGCATTTCTTAGGTTCTGAACAAAGAACAAGGTAGGGATAAAAAAGAAAGTAGCTATTATTCCTCTTGTCTCTCTACCCAATTGCTGACGCCACAACCTAGGAGTGATTCTTTATTCTTCTTTTCCTTTCCTCCTACATCCAATCTGTTGACTCTAATTCAAACATTATATTTTGAATTAAACTAGCCTGAAAGAATTTTAAAACATGTTATCCAGATAGCCTCATCTCAATGGTTAAAACTGATATTGCAGCAAACGTTAAGAAAAAGCAGAATGACAATACATATAGATACCTTGTCAGGTATGTTGAACCTAGACCCAAGGAGATATGAAGGAAATAATGCCAAGATGTTTCAGAGAAAAGGAGAGAAAGCAATGCCCTCTGTTGGTAAAGTTCCGTACATGTAATAATTCCAAGGGCCTTTAACATTTTCTCTGTAACTTTTCCTATTCCAGAAACCTAGAAAAGAATCAATATTTATTATTAATAGATTTTAAAGTTAAGATAAAAATTGAGATTACAATCTCATTACACTTTTTTTTTTTGGGCGGGGGAATTGGAGTCTCAGTCTTGTTGCCCAGGCTGGAGTGCAGTGGCGCCACGTCGGCAACCTCCGCCTCCCTGGTTGTTCAAGCGATTCTCCTGCCTTAGCCTCCTGAGTAGCTGGGATTGCAGACATGCGCCACCATACCCGGCTAATTTTGTATTTTTAGTAGAGATGGGGTTTCTCCATGTTGGTCAGGCTGGTCTCGAACTCCTGACCTCAGGTGATCCGCCCACCCTGGCTTCCCAAAGTGCTCATTTTATCTCTTATAATCGATAAAAGGTATGAATAATGTGACTATCTTCACAAGTCATGCAGGAAAACTGCTTTAATTACTTTTTGACCACATTTACTAAACTAGGGCTTCATGTAAGTTCAAAAGGCATTAAAAAAGGAGTGCTGTGTTCATATAAACTTGGGGAATGGTGGGATTAACAAATTTAAGTGAAACTTTTTATTCCAAGATTTATGAATCTTTAATATATTAATATGCATAGTGACACATCAAGAGTAGTACACTCCAAAGGTATTTGAACCCAGAACCTTTTTAAAGGGAATACCTATTCATACTTGAAAAACATTGGAAAACACGGCTTTGCAGCTACACCTTACATATACTAGTCAGTAATCACTATATATTACATACTGAGCACTGAAAAATATTTAAATTCATTCATGTACATTATGTTGAATGAGAAAAGAAAGTCCTAGATCATATACAGTAGTGTATGGTGCAATTATTGAAAAAAAAGTATATATATGCAGAAAAATCTAGAAGCTCTAAAAAATAATAAAGTATACACTTTCTGGAACCCCTGAGGGATAATTTTACCATTTTTAAAATGGCAAAATATTTTGGTTTATTCTTTGTCAAAAACAATTAAAATTCTAAATCTCTTTGAAGCATCATGCCCATTAATCTAGCAGCAATCTAGACTTTAGAACTAAGATAGCACTAAGTTACAGATGAAGGGACTGTTGGAAATATTCTTTTAATTTCTCTTCTCCTTGGCAGGAATTCACTTAAAAATCTGTGATTATTACTTTCTTAAAAGTTTACAGCAAATAAGCTAAATCTCACTTTCAGGGTTTCACAGAAAGGTTTCTTCAAGTTCAAATTCTATCATCCATTATAGTTCTTGCTTGTTATCTATTGTTTTAAAACATTTTAGCAAAGAATGATTAACTATTGACCTACATAGTATCTCTTCAGAATTCAGAGGACATATACAAAAATAAACTGTATGTAAAAATCTTACCTTTCTAATGGGTAAATCCTTGATGAAGTCCATCACAGCTTGTCTATTGGGAAGAATTTGGTATTGTCCATTTGGTTTATTCTTATCACTGCATACTTTTGCTAACATTGTATTTGGGGCAATGCCTTAAAAGAAGAATACTCTGATGACTCAAAGAAGTTGATATGTGTGACTTTTAAAAATGCAATAACAAAACAGAAAAAAATGTTAATTGCAAAAAATCTCAAATGATATATAATGGTACTTTAAAAATAACAATTGATTACCATCTATGTCCCCAGGGCTTGCTATGGTCTTAGGAAAAGAAATTGTACTAGTTATTGTGGCAGCAAAAATGAGAAATATTTAATTCTCCATGATATTTTAAAATGTAAGAGTAGGCCGGGCGCGGTGGCTCAAGCCTGTAATCCCAGCACTTTGGGAGGCCGAGACAGGCGGATCATGAGGTCAGGAGATCGAGACCATCCTGGCTAACACGGTGAAACCCTGTCTCTACTAAAAAAAAAAAAAAAAAAGTAAGAGTAATTTCTGAGCTAAGTAATATTAAGTGTAATTATTAGTTTACTTACTACCTTTAGTAGGAATACAGAATTTTTTATTTTTCCAGATGGAGGCTTGCTCTGTCACCCAGGCTGGAGGCAGTGGCGCAATCTTGGCTCACTGTAACCTCCACCTCCTGGGTTCAAGTTATTCTCCTGTCTCAGCCTCCCAAGTAGCTGGGATTAGAGGCATGCACCACCACGCCTGGGTAATTTTTGTATTTTCAGTAGAGACGGGGGTTTCACCATATTGGTCACGCTGGTCTCGAACTCCTGACCTCAAGTGGTCCACCAGCTTTAGCCTCCCAAAGTGCTGGGATTACAGGCGTGAGCCATCATGCCCAGCCCAGATTGTTTTTATAGTGGTTCTATATCTACCTCTCAGAAAAGATCCAGAATATAATTTAGGGTGGATGTTTACTCTTCGAAAAGGTCTTTTGCATAGATTATCCACATAAAGCAAAAAATCGAAGATTCTGGTTATAGTATATTTAAAATAATAATTAGATTGGTGTATCCTTTTTATGTTATTCACAGAACAGATTACTAGTTTTCAGAAAGATGTTTTACAATTTCTAGGAATCCTGATTAAGATAATTTGAAATAGGTATATTCAAATAGATTAATTAAACAGTTCATGTCAATTGTTATATAGATCTTCCTAAAATGCATTATTCATTCTCATGTTTTGGTGTAGAAAGAAAAGATTTACCTAATCACAGTTTGGCTTTTACAAGATAGTTCAGGGTCCTCATGATGAAAAATAGTTATTATGCTAAGAGACAGTGATGGCCTCATGGGTTAACAACATATGTCAATTTGTTTTAACTTTACCAGATGATCCTGGATTGCTATGTTGCTAGTTAGTATTCCTTTTGTCTCCTACCTTGTGGCCATCCGGGTTCTCTCCTGCAATGTAATCTTGGACATCCCAAGGAAAAACTAATAATCAAGTATTACATGCAAAAACAATAAAAATATATTTTGTGCTAGAAAAAGATAGCTATATGAAATTTATGGGTCAGGCATGGTGGCTCACACCCGTAATCCAGCACTTTGGGAGGCCAAGGTGGGTGGATCACGAGGTCAGGCGATCAAGACCATCCTGGCTAACATGGTGAAACCCCGTCTCTATTGAAAATACAAAAAATTAGCCGGGCATGGCGGCATGCGCCTATAGTCCCAGCTACTCAGGAGGCTGAGGCAGGAGAATTGCTTGAATCCAGGAGGCAGAGGCTGCAATAAGCTGAATGAGATTGCCCCACTGCACTCCAACCTGGGCGACAGAGCAAGACTCTATCTCAAAAAGAAAAAAAAAAAGAAAGAAATTTATAATCTCTTTTTTCTTCAGGCTCATAGTCTGCTTAACTCCAATTTACTTACTAGGTTCACAGCTATTCTGAATAGGTAAAGTCATTAGAAGTTGAATCAAAGACTAGATAAGTAAAATGTTACTAAATACTTTATAATGAGAAACTACTAATATTACACTTGAATTAGCCAGTCTGAAAATTATAACTATAGTGGCCACCAATACCCTTTTAAATACCTGCACTGGCTGTCAATGTTGTTTTTTGCTCGATTCTGAAACGAATTTCCTTTACCACTTCCTCGGCTGATGTTCCAAAAACAATTGAGTTTTGGAGTATTTGAGGACTGTTTTGTTCTTCAAAGTTCACTTGGAAAGGATCTCCTGGGGGCAGCAAATCAGAAGGACTCTCTTCAAAAAGTAGTGGAGAGATGGATCGTTCATGGTCACTCAGTTTATTAACTTCCTTTCCTGGATTATCTAAATCATAAATAAGAACAATAACTCACGTTTATTTTAAGAAGTATATACTTTATAAGTTAGGTTTCCCTACATTATTTCTGAAGACAAAAAAAAAAAAAATCTAGTTTAGCTTAGTTTCTAGGATCCAAGATCAGAAATGCCATCATTTATCATTTGCTGTTTTATAACTGTTAAAGAGAACACTGATTATGAATTTTTCCTAACAAGACTATTATCCATTTCCACAACATAAATATTAAAAGAAAATATTCTGTGTAAAACTCTTTAATGTTCGTACCTAAATTAATTGAAATTCAGAATTGGGTTTCAGTTCACATTACCTTTTCCTTAAAAAAGAAAAAAAAAAAAAAAAAGGAAATCTTTTCTTTATTCTCCTTTAGGAAGAAAAAGAATCTTCTAAAATTAGAATTTAGGAATGAGGAAAAAGGCATTTAAGCAATATATAATAATTACACCTGAAAATAAAGTTTTGTTTTTAGAAGGAAAAACACTTAACTTTTCTTCATTCATGGAAGAAAACTTTTAGATTTTAAAATAATCTGAATTTTCTTCTTTCAAATGCTGATTTTAATTTTGATTTGCTTGTTTATGAAGTATCACTTTGATTAAGGGCACATTTGTAATAAATAGAAATTACCTCTGAAAGTTATGCTTTGAATATACAAATTCTTAAGGTCTGATTGGATGGTCCAAGTTTAAGAAAAAGAGACGTTATTATTAATAGGCTATAAACTATTATTACAAAGTAAAGTAAAAATACCAATCTGGTTATTACCTCCTTATATTTATATTTTTCATAAATGGACTCTATAAAATATACTTAAATCTATACTGATACTAAAAATGTCTCCATGAACAAATCTATTAAAGCCTATTTTCTGGGCTTAATGTAGAAGAAATACAATTTAAATGCATTTGTAACAACCAAGGTTAGCAAAAAAGCTTTCTGATCCCATCTCATAATTTTATTACATATAAATATTTTCCAGATTAAGGTAAATGCAGAAGCAAAAATTAAATTTCTAGTTTTAAGACACATATGAATGTATATTACTTGAAAAATGAACTTGGCTGTTTAGGAAAAAAATTTAAAAATAATATAAAATAAATATGACAGCCGGGCGCGGTGGCTCAAGCCTGTAATCCCAGCACTTTGGGAGGCCGAGACGGGCGGATCACGAGGTCAGGAGATCGAGACCATCCTGGCTAACGCGGTGAAACCCCGTCTCTACTAAAAAAAAAATACAAAAAAAAATAAAAAATAAAAATAAATATGACAGACATCTGATAAATTTAAAAATTTAAAATATGTAGTGTGAATTAAGTCATAGATGTTAATTCAGTCAGATGTTTTCCAAATCTGAATTCCCAGGGCACATACACAATAAGCCAATTTTCTTTCTCTCCATTTTTTTTTTTTTTTTTTTTTGAGACAGGGTCTCCCTCTTGCCCAGGCTGAAGTGTAGCTGGGACTACAGGCGCAAGCCAACACACCTAGTTAATTTTATACTTTTTTGGTAAAGACAGGGTTTCACAATCTTGCCCAGGGTGGTCTCCAACTCCTGGGCTCAACTGATCCTCCCACCTCAGCCTCCTAAAGTGCTAGGATTATAAATGTGAACCAACTTGCCTCGCCAATAAGCCTTATTTTCAAACTTACATTAGCTGATATTTATGTGCTTCAGTTCCTGTCACTTTTTAATATTCTGGTTTTAAAATGTAGAGCAATTCAGAGGGGAAACAGGCCAGGCACGGTGGCTCACGTCTAATCCCAGCACTTTGGGAGGCTGAGGCGAGCGGATCACCTGAGGTCAGGAGTTCAAGATCAGCCTGGCTAAGATGGCGAAACCCCATCTCTACTAAAAATACAAAAATGAGCCAGGCATGGTGGCGCACAGCTACTCAGGAGGCTGGAGCAGGAGAATTACTTCAACCCAGAAGGCAGAGGTTGCAGTGAGCTGAGACCGTGCCACTGTACTCCAGCCTGGGTGACAGAGTGAGACTCCATCTCACAAAAAAAAAAAAAAAAGACTGTGAAACAGTTGAAATGGTATCTACCTGGAGACCTTTTCCTCATCTGGATGGGTAGAAGTAAAGGTAAAGAGAGCTACAGAAAAACTGCAAACCAAATGAGTTATCTGTCACATTCATAAGTCCCTTCTGCCGAGTTTTTTATGCCATGTTTTGTACCTCATGCCTCAACCACCCAGCCCTCAGGTGAGTCACTGTGAGAGCAGAATTATACAGCAGGAAGCAAAGAATGCTGCCTTCTAGTACATTATCAGAGCTGCTGCAGAATGCTCAGGTATCTTTTCAATCTGAACTACATTCTACTTTTCTGTGAGGCCTGGTTGTGCAACCAACAGTTGGACTAGTTTCTTATTTGCTTTGTGTCAGAAACATCTTTATAATCCCCATAACTGAGGTAATCACAATGTAACACTAGGATTAAAGCATTTCATTTGAACGACAAGCGCTAAAAAGTGAATGGCATTTCAGTTTCTTTTATTATCTGGCACTCACCATCCAGATTTAGATGGGAGAGTAAACATTTAAAAATTTTATTTGTATGTAGAGATGGTAGTTAGCAATATATTTCCAAAGACAAACACCTTTTAGAAAATGGGGAAACAGCAAAAAAATGTCTTGGACTTTAGAGGAAGATATATCAATTGCCTGCCACAGTCAATGCACTATTGACAATTTCCCATGGCATGATGTGAGATGAGACATGCCTGAAAGTCCAGCCCACAGGTATTTATACATGAGAAGAAAATTTAAACTATTCCAATTGCTTAGGAATATGAAAATACATGAAGAGGGCGCTGTACAAGTAAATATGTTAAAAGCAATAGATATTAAAAACTCACATACTCATAGTGAGTTTGGACATTATAAGAAATGAAAAGAACATTAGTAGGCCGGGCGTGGTGGCTCACGCCTGTAATCCTAGCACTTTGGGAGACTGAGGCGGGCAGATCACCTGAGGTCAGGAGTTTGAGACCAGCCTGGCCAACATGGTGAAACTCCGCCTCTACTAAAAATACAAAAAACTAGCCAGGTGTGGTGGCAGGCACCTCTAATTCCAGATACTCAGGAGGCTGAAGCAGGAGAACTGCTTGAATCCAGGAGGCAGAGACTGCAGTGAGCTGCGACCATGCCACTGCACTCCAGCCTGGGCAACAGAGTGAGACTCTTTAAAAAAAAAAAAAAAAATTAGTAGAAAATGAAAATATTTACTTTAATCCCAATGTAAAAATTTTAAAACATATCATGCAAGTAATTGTTATGGGAGGCCCTCAGGGGATGCTTTGACATAATTATTTAATGATATTCCCTCATTCTCTTGTGAAAGTAAGGAATTAGTAAAGTATTTTATACAAAGTGACATCAGGCTTTATGTACCACATCCTCAAACAATAAAGTTACACGAAATAAGGAAAACCTTTTGCTCTATGCCTCTGTGTCCAGAAATGATGATTATTATTTAATGTTCCTATAAAAGAAAAGAGAGACCAATCCCTTAGGGCTTTAAATAAGGTAATGAAGCTGTGACTTGGTGCCCATATTAAACTTGCTCCAAATGATGTGAGTCACAAACAATGTGAGAGAGTTAGATTAATGTCATTGGGGATCTACCATTTTTGCTTCAGGGAAAGTTACAAACAGGTCTCCCCAGCACTGTCTGGCCCGTCTGAAGCAGAGTTGTGCACATGAAATGTTCCTGTGGGTTGTGAGCAAACCCTTCTGTGTCACTTTTTCATCCAGGTGAACTTTGTTCAGGGGTCCAGGACATCTCAGATATAATCATACCTTTGACAAAATGTTGAAAGCAGTATATGTAATATCTGCATGTTTCTTGGCATTGCTTTTGGATAGGTAATAAAGGGATTTAAAAAAAAAAAAAACAAACCCTGGAGTCTTGAAATTATACAGTGTAAGGCAAAGAAGGGAGTGAGAAGTCATTAATTTTGGCAGAGTTAAAAACGTTATAATTGCTATAATAATTAGATTATTAGGAAAATTAGGAAAATGAAGAAAAATAGAATCATCCAATGTTTTGATATGCTTGAGGCTAGTCTTTTCTAACAACAACAAAAGGCCACTTTAAACAGATAACTTCCTCAGCTTCAATGCCATCCAAACTCTTAAGTTAGTTAGACCTTAGGAAAATAACTGCTATAAAATTACTTTGTTCAGGGATTCTGCAGACTCTTAAGCTTAGAGATTTAACAATCACATTTCGTTTATATGTGATATTCTACATGTTTAATGCAGAAAACCCACGGTATTTTTTAAATTTTCTGATTTTACATTTTTATAAAGGTACATCTATGCCTTCTACCTATACAGGCTAATAAATTAATTGGATCAATTCAAAGAGTTGTGGGTTTTTTTTTTCACTGCTTCTTGGTTTGATAGTCTTAATAAGTTGCTTACCATTTTCTACAGAGTTTCCCATTTTGATGAAATACTTTCTTTTATCCTCAGGCCAATTTTGTCTTTCTTCTAAGTGTTTTGTTATATTCAAGTAGGCTTCATCAAGACTCATGGCCATAAAATTGGGATCATAATCAGCAAGTATTTCCTTAACCTTCAAAGGAAACAAAAAGAAGTTTAAATTTTGCTGTGATAGCAAATTTCTTCTGTCATATGTAGCTGATAAGAAACGTTAATATTCTTAGTTTGCAACTACAGTAACAATCCTGCAGTCAATAGCTCATGGATTTAAGGAATAAATAATCCACTACCAGGGAATATTTTCTTTTTTTTTTTTTTTTTTTTGAGACGGAGTCTCGCTCTGTCACCCAGGCTGGAGTGCAGTGGCCAGATCTCAGCTCACTGCAAGCTCCGCCTCCCAGGTTTATGCCATTCTCCTGCCTCAGCCTCCCAAGTAGCTGGGACTACAGGCGCCTGCCACCTCGCCCGGCTAAGTTTTTGTATTTTTAGTAGAGACGGGGTTTCACTGTGTTAGCCAGGATGGTCTCGATATCCTGACCTCATGATCCGCCCGTCTCGGCCTCCCAAAGTGCTGGGATTACAGGCTTGAGCCACCGCGCCCAGCCTACCAGGGAATATTTTCAAAATTTCTTTTTGTATTAAAATAGACCATGAAGGCAGAAGACCACAAAATAGCTTCATTTGATACAATCTCTATTTAGCCACCTATATCTAGTTATAATAAGCAATTCAAATAAATCTCAGACAACATTATCTGGTAGGCACATACAAAAAAACGGTTAAGGTTAAATTTAGGTAGCTCGTCAGAAGCTGAAGTGGGAATGATAGGATTCTATTCCCTCCTGCCTTTTGTGATTTATTGTTTTTGGTTCATTTTAAAAAGGAATAATCTTATATAAAGGTACTATGTTGCTTTAGAAAATATTTCAATTAATTATAACATGCACATAAAAGTCCACTTAACATTAATTAATGCATTAATCCATACAGGAAAATGAATGTTCTCTATTTCCTGTTACTTATTAAGATCTGGAATGGAAAAAAATGACAAATCTATAGTGTACTTCCATGATTACCTTAAATGATGGGGAAAAGTCTGGAGTTACATCTTAGGATAAAAGAAATACATATAAAGATTAGAATTATAGTTGCTATAATTCAGAAACGCCTTTTATATAAGATAGTGTTCTTACATAAAACTATGACTTTTTTTTCTAACCACTTAAGTATTAGCTATAATTAGAGGCAATGGTTGTCAATATAATATGCATATTTTCCAGATTGGGTGACTGAGTGACACCGTGCCTCAAAAAAAAAATGTGTATTAGAAAATATATTTGCTGAATTATGCTATGCTTCCATTTAGCTTTTAAAACTGTCTACTGTATCACAAGAAAACTGTTTCTTGTTTTATAAAAAGAAAGCTTTTTAGCTTAATATAATTATGAACAGCTGAGTCAAAGGGAATTTTAGAAAATGGTGATATAAACTTGGCCAAGTTTTACTCAGAGTGTGCCTTAATTAGCTTTGTTCTTGTTATAATGTGCTCAAATAGAATCTTTCCAATGAAAATGAAACCCTGTGAAGTCTATAACTGGCAGCCAACTAAGATTCTGAATGAGAAGTACTCCCTAGAGACACTGTTGAGTATTTATTAACTTCCTTTACATAGGATATTGCTATAAGAATTAAAAGAGACATGTTCCAGTAAAAATCAAGCACTTAAAGCTCCAATATCTTGGATAAAACAAAAATGGCTAGCTGGGCATGGTGGCTCATGCCTGTAATCCCAGCACTTTGGGAGGCCTGGGCAAGATAATTTTCTGAGGCCAGGAGTTTAAACCTAGCCTGAGCAACATAGCGAAACCCTATCTCTGCAAAAAAATTTTAAAATTAGGAGGGTGTGGTGATGCATGCCTGTCATTCTAGCTACTCAGGAGGATAAGGCCAGAGGATTGCTTAATTCAAGAGTTTAAGGTTACAGTGAGGTATGATCGAGTCACAGCATTGAGCCTGGGCTATGGGGTGAGACCCTGTCTCAAAAAATAGGGAGGGCTTTTTCTTAAACTTTCTAACCAAGTCATGAATATTAATGTATCCATAGGCAGTGATGAATTTGTTCTATAGTTCATTTACACATAAGAACTCATTTGTTATCTGCAAATAAACTAGCTAGATTCGGCTCAAATTTGAAGAGTTCTCTGACTTACATAAGTAACCAGACTAAAATAACTAAAAACACTTTGGTTTTCACTGGCATACTGCCAGAAGTATTGCTGAGTTAAAGCACGACTTTAAAAAATGCCTTCTCTTACTAAATTTTTGTAGGATTTTTAAAACTTCTTAAAACGCTATATTTATGATTAGTATTTTATCTCTTTTTAATTAGGAATACAATGAAAGAGATAAACAGTAACCAAATGTGAGTGTGCTCCCCTCTCCTACACTGCCTTTTCAGAGGTATACACAAAGCACTTGCTGTCACAGACCGCCTTGGACAGAAAAAAAAACAAACCTGTGTTTAAACTTGGAATAGTGTCATTTCTCGGGAAAATGAGGTGGAATAAAAATAAGAGGGGTGAATTTAAAGACCCCTGGCATAACAAAAGAGTAATAAGTATTAGGCCACAGTTTTTTAAGTGTTTCCATTCAGACAGTAGTCTTAAACACATTTTACTACAGCAGTCTAAAAGTATTTGATATAGCAGTCTAAAATTTTATTCCAGCACTGCATGATAAACCACTTGTCATAAAAAATAGAAAAAATGAAAATTTTCACATATGACAGTTTGGCAATTTTAGTAAATAATCAAATCTACTTCAAAGATCCTTTTCAAAGCAATGGATTACTCTCTTTTCAATTATCAGTCTTAGACAGTAAATGATTATAGGGCAAGAAAAGTAGGCTAATCAAAATACATGAATTTTGTCACTGTTTAACAACATTAACAAATAATTATTCAGATAATAGGTTGACATTAATGATGAGTAGATTCTGTAAGTTATTAATAAAATGTGGTTCTAGAAAAAATGTATATTGTACGTTAAGAAAAAAGAGCTAAATTTAATTTTATATTATCATTAAGGCAGTTCAAAGTTGGAGGAAATGGGAAGAGTTTTCTAAGCAAATGAAAACTGCATGGAAAGGCAAATAATTGGGAAAAAGAATGATGTATTCTGGATACTATATGCAGCTCAGTATTCAATATACAAGCTGAAGAAGTGATAGGAGGCTCGACTGAAAGCGTAAGCTAAGACCAAATCCTGTGTGCTAAGGCACTCAGACTTGAGTCTGCAGGTGACAGGAAATCAGTGAAAGCCTAAAGTAGGGGTGAGACATTAACTTACCTCTTTACTCACAGCTCGGTATTTGTCAAAGTTTGGAGGCACTATTATAAGTTGTGGGCAGAGTCTCTTAGCAATAAATCCTGGCATGGCTGCACGAACACCAAACCTCCTTGCATGGTAATTTGAAGTAGACTGAAAGATATTGGACCACATGGAAAAAAATATACAAACCTAAATGGACATATTGATCAATGCATTCATAGGAAATACATTAATATGTGCCTTTTCAATTCAAGGACATTTCATTTATAGGCCTCTGTTTTAATCCAAGTTTTGACTTATTCTGTCACAGTATTTTGATACCATGACCCTCTCCCATTACTATCCCTATATTTATAATGCGATACCAGATATAAACAAGACTGTGCTAATAAAAAGATTTTTTTAAATTTCTACTAACTAAACGTCATTGGTTTGAAGGCATACTTGTTATAGAATGAATATCAAAGTTTGAATGATGGTGAGTTATGCTACATGAAAGTAATAATATACTAAGTTGTACAGAATAGTCATAAAATAATAGTATACAAATAGTAAAGACGTTACATTATAGAAAGTAATAGTATAGTATACTATTATAGTATAGTATAGTATAATAGTAAACTTTTGGAATTTGCTCTATTTGGGATTTTGGAAACTTCATCTAGAACAAAAATAAAAGGTCTACTATGTGGTCAGCCAAATTAAGTCTCCAAAATGAAGTGATTAAAGTTTAAAATAAGTTTAGAAATTAAGGGTTTTTTCTTAAGGCTTAATTATCTTTTTTGCTGAAAACATTTTGACTAGGAGATGGAACTACAAAAGTATGAGAGTAAAAAGGAGAATATTGGTTCTTGCCTCCACTTCTCGCCATGTCTTCTCACAAGACTTTCAGGATTAAGCGATTCCTGGCCAAGAAACAAAAGCAAAATCGTCCCATTCCCCAGTGGATTCGGATGAAAACTGGAAATAAAATAAGGTACAACTCCAAAAGGAGACACTGGGGAAGAACCAAGCTGGGTCTATAAGGAATTGCACATGAGATGGCACATATATTTGTGCTGTCTGAAGGTCACGATCATATTACCGTATCAAACTGAAAATGTCACCACTCTCTGGAGAGTTCGACATATTTTCCTCTCTGAATCTATTATGAATGCGTTGGTTGGCTGGGTTCAGTAATAAATATGTGAGGCCTTTCATTTCAAAAAAAAAAAAAAAAAAGGAGAATATTGCTTATTAAATCCTGTTGATGATGATATCTGATGAAAGTCTATGTGAATGTGGTAGACCGTAGGACTATTTATAAAACAAATTCTATCACAAATTAAATCCTTATTTGGAATCTCAAGTGAAATTTCAAAGAAATGCAAAACAGAATCAAATGAAGGAATTATTTCACGATAATATGAATTTTCCTCTAATGATTTTCAAATGGCACTTAAAACATCTTGATAGTACTCAGAACTATACTAATCCTTAGTCAGTGTTCTGAAACAGAAAATGTAGATAGCACTAGAAACAAAACCAATGCTTTAGTAAATAAGTTTAATAGAATCGACATAAAAGCTAGATCTATAGTAGAGGAGAAACAAACTTTTAAATAAGAATTTCTCTAACTTTTAAATTTGTGGTATATTGTACATCACAGCCACACTACTTTACAGTTACTCTTATCAAAAGTGAGTTCTAGTTCCTCATGCCATGTGACTTGCCTTGTGACTTGGTTAGATGAAAATAATGTGAGGGAAGTGACACTGTGTTCCGAAACCTAAGTTTTTGCTTTTAGTAATCCAGCAACTATTGTAAATATTTCGGGGTAGATTACTCAACGTTGAAGCAACAATGGAGAGGAGAAAGTTCTGAAGCTGGAATCCATTCCGATCTCCTCAGTCCAAGTGCCAGACATGTGAATGAAGCCATCTTGGATTTTTTAACCTCAGTTAAATTGCCCTAGCCAAATCCAGGTAGAGCAGGGTTGAGCCATCGCCATTGCACTCTGCTCAAATTACAGAATCATGAGCTAATAAATTTTGGCTATCCACTAAATACTGCGGGAAGCTGTTATGCAGCAATAGATAACTGCTATACGATCTCAGTTGCAACTCTCAGTGCCAAGTTAGAACATTTCAAAAATCCATCAAATTCACCAAAAAAGAATTCTATCAGTAGGAATAATGAAACAACTCCCATTAATTTGTAGATATACTTTTATATGTTTAATAGGACAAAAAGTTATGCTTATTAGAAGGGAAACCGCCGGGCGCGGTGGCTCAAGCCTGTAATCCCAGCACTTTGGGAGGCCGAGACGGGCGGATCACGAGGTCAGGAGATCGAGACCATCCTGGGTAACACGGTGAAACCCCGTCTCTACTAAAAAATACAAAAAACTAGCCGGGCGAGGTGGCGGGCACCTGTAGTCCCAGCTACACGGGAGGCTGAGGCGGGAGAATGGCGTAAACCTGGGAGGCGGAGCTTGCAGTGAGCCGAGATCGGGCCACTGCACTCCAGCCTGGGCGACAGAGCAAGACTCCGTCTCAAAAAAAAAAAAAAAAAAAAAAGAAGGGAAACCTATTTGTTCAACATACAAAGGGAGTAATCTTTGTTTAAATATAACAAATAGTAATTTTGAATTTAGAAACAATAACTGATTTTTAGGAGGACAGAAACTGTAGGAAAGAAAATATTTTGTAGATTTCAAAAGCAGTCGGTTTAGCTTTAACATGGCTACAGCAAGTTTGTATGTATACACATACATAAACATACATAAATTTATGGTGTTACATCTTAATAAAAGTAAATATATTTTTTTGAAATATTTATTGATGATTTGTAGGAAAGGGGAGTTTCCTTTCAAAAAACAGTGGTTTGGAAACAGAGTTATCAGTTGCCTGCATACTCACAGAGGCAGAGATAAAAAACAAACAGATTATAGTTTTATAATAAAATAATCACTCAGTAAGAATTAGTTTTGTAGCTATCTAAGGCATGGGAAGGAGTTAGGAACAGAGAAGAACTCTTCTTGTTTATCTAATACTTTTTAAGTACCAAAGCCCATCTATTTCAGTTGCTACTTTTAATTCCCAACACACTTTCAGCCACACATAGCTATCCTGGTCATTTTTACCTTCTAAAGTTAGAGTGTAAAAAGGAACAGCAACACAGTAATCAGAAAAGCAAAGTTCTAAGTCATGGGAGAAACAATTTAACTGCATTCTAAATGTACTCTATTAATGAAATATGTTATTCCAGAACTAGGGTTGGCAAACCTTTTCTTTTCTGTGAAAGTCCAGATAGTAATCATTTTAGGCTTTGCAGATCATTGAATTATTGAACTCTGCTCTTTTAGTGCAACAATAGTAATAAATAAATGGGTATGACTTTGCTCCAATAAAAAGCTGGATTTGGCCTGCAGACCAGTTTGAAAATCTCTATTAATACCTTATAATAACATTTCCTTTGCTTTCTTATTCAACTCTCTTTAACTAGAATGGTTACTTATGGAAAAATTTAATTTGCCATGGAAGTTACTAGGTTTGTAACTTTGGGCAAGTTATTAAGCATCTCTCTGAGTTTTCTTTTTTGCCAAATGGAAATAAAAACTAGTACCTTAAAGCAGCAGTTCCTAACCTTTTTGGCACCAGAGACTGGTTTTGTGGAAGACAATTTTTCCACGGACTGGTGGGGCGATGGTTTCGCGATGATTCAAGCATGTTACATTTATTGTGCACTTTATTCCTATTATAATTACATTGTAATATATAATGAAATAATTATACAACTCACCATGATATAGAATCAATTGGAGCCCTGAGCTTGTTTTCCTGCAATTAGACAATCCCATCTGGGGGTGATGGGAGACAGTGACAGATCATCAGGCATTTGATTCTCATAATGAGTATGTAACCTGGATCCCTCGCATGCGCAGTTCACAACAGGGTTTGTGCTCCTATGAGAATACAGTGCCACAACTGATCTGACCGAGTTCGGGCATACTGCAAGTGATGGGAAGTGGTTGTAAATACAGATGAAGCTTCGTTCGCTTGTCTGACGCTCACCTTCTGTTGCGAGGTCCAGTTTCCAACAGGCCATGGACCAATACCAATCTGTGAACCAGGGGCAGGAGTCCCCTGCCTTAAAGTATGTTGAAAGGATTCAGTAATTGAGTCATATATAAGGCACCCAGAAAAATACTCAGCAAACTGGTAGACCTCAATAAAGAATTCCCCCTTCGTGAAACAGTAAAGCTTACTTGAATATGTTATAAAATTTCCTTTTTGTGTTTGATCTTTACTTACCAGCATACTCATTGATCCTACAGCAATAGGTTTATCCTTCAATTCTGGATTGTCCCTCATTTCTACAGCTGCATAGAAAGCATCCATGTCAATGTGCACTATGGTATTGCTCAAATTTCGGCTCTGTTCTAATTCCATTGCAAATCTGTCAACCTTAATTTTTTAAAAAAGTTAACATACTTTTAGACAACATAATATTGAAACACCATTAACTACATTAATCTTAATTTATTAAGTGTCTATCAGTCTCTGTCCACACACCCATTCATCCATCCATCCATCCACCCATCCATTTACTTTTATGGGTGTGTATTTTGTTGTTCATGAGTGTTTACGGGTTCATATTTTATTACTATTTATAAGTGTTTATCTATGTATATTTTATTTTTAAATTAAAATTGGTAATTGCTTTTATTTTCATAGAGACAGCCTATCCTCAAATATCATTCCCTACCAACTCTTTCATCTCTCCATACCCTCAGGCACATAACAGGAACTTAATATTTAATGAATGAATGAGCTAATCCAACTGATTTTATTAAATGATTCTACTGCTTTATAAATTTGGAGTTCAACTCACTATAACTAAAAGCTTCAATGTAGGTAAAATAAACAACTGCCATTTGATTCATAATAATAATGTCTTTAAAAATCAACAAAGGAAATATACAACAAAAGATTATACCTCTTTGGCATATGATGTTTATGCTGAACAGTAAGGTACAACTGAAGATACTGAAGCATAATGTAAATGTTCCCTCTGTAGAATTGCTTTTATAATGCTAAAATTTGATGTTAATCTATACAAGTAAAATTTAAAACCCAAGCTGTAATTTATTCTTCATGAACTTTTATATGTCAAATATAATAGTGAAGATTCTTAATCTTTAAAGAATTTTAGTTTCTTCAGAGAAAAAGAGTTAGATTTACAAGAAAGAAATGAAAGAGGATAGACTAAACAAAGGAAGCAAGTAAGAAAAGTGATTATGTAGCAGACATACTCATTTCTAACTTCCATTTTTGTGGCCGGCCTCTACTATCAAGGCAAGAAAGGCTAAATACTCACTTACCCAGCTTACCCTGCAGCTGGGGGTGGCTGTGTAATAGCTGTGATCTATGCAACACAGGGAAGTTACCAAGACCATTAAAGTAAAATCGTAAGAGAAGAAAGCTATTAAATAAGCTGGAAAACATACAGAACATAGAACAGTACCTGGTACATGGCACAAGTTCAATAAATGCATCTATCACTAAAAGGATCAATGGATAGCTGCATAATAAAACATCAAAAACTGAGAGAAAAACAGCCAGCAATGAGCAACTGGGGTGATCTATGGAATGGAAATAACTTCCGTCATGTGGAGTTCCCTCTAGCAAGTTTTCTCAAAGGTGGAGAGCTATAGGTGTATATGTTTTTTCCCTCATGTTGGACTCCAGCTTTGCCTCCATTCTGCAGAACTTTTTTTATGTCCTTCCTTCTTAGTGTTATAGAGACACCAGCTGCACACTAGTCGCAGGTTAAACCTATAACTCCTCTTTTAGAAGCAATCACCCTGACTCATGTTTGTCTCCAGGAGGTACAGTGAAATCTGTAGAAGGCTCCCCCTTGTTTAGGCTACAGCTCACTGAATGACCTGGGTTGCTCTATGCCTTCCTCAGGCTGTTCCTCTGTCTACATTGCCTTTCCGAGCTCTGTCACAAGCCTTCAAGGATCAGCTGAAATATATCTTGGTATCTTAATAGAATGTCTGTCCTCTGTGCCACAGAATTTAATATTCCTTGTTTCCCTGCTCTTGCATGGCATTATTGTGTTAGATACTAAATTGTCAGTTCCTTCAGAAGAAAGACCTTATCTGACTTCAAATTATTTTCTCACAAGAGAGATGGGGAGGGGAGACTAGAAGGAGAAAAATTATGAATTCACAGCAGTATATTAAAGTTGGTTTAAAAAGTGAAAGCAGTACTAGTAGAAAAATCTTGAAGAAGACTAACTTCCTACAGTAAAATCCCATAGGTAATAAATGGAACCTTTCAACATTACTATAATTTAACATGCTAATTAAAACCTACTTCTTTTAGTACCTCAATTCTGAACCAGAGAATAGCATCATGACCACATGTAAACAAATTATGGAGATTAATAAAAACAAATGTAAACTAAAAACTACTCTATTTTAATCCAGAAAATATACCTAAGATATAACAGTCACATGAGAATAAGAAAGTGGCATCTGAAATACCTTGACATGGAATCATCTAGAAAAGAAAAAGATGATGAATAGAAAGCAAGTCAAATGGGAAAAAATTCTCCTCAGACTCATATATTAATGCTATAAAAATGTCTTCAGCAAGCTATTCTCTTTTTTTGTGTGCTTAAAGCAAGAGTAGTTGCCAAAAGGAAATCTCCCCACTGCATGACTCATACATTCTACTTTCCTTTTACTATCTCTCATTAGTCACCTTTGTCTGAACTCTTCTCTTTCTACATCAACCAGATGCATGCCACTACTGCTTTTAAAAGTTTCTTCAACTGAAATCCCCATTCATATTGTCCTTTCTTCCATTTTCCAATGACTTTCAAGTTCTTATCTGAGTCTCCAACACGTACATTGTTCTTTTTGCTACTGCTCAAAACTAGTGTGTGTCACACTGGTTAAGAGTAACGGCTTTTGGGATTCCCGGGCAAGATGGTCGAATAGGAACAGTTCCTGTCTGCAGCTCCCAGTGAGACCAAGGCAGAAGGTGGGTGATTTCTGCATTTCCACCTGAGGTATTCGGCTCATCTTATTGGGACTGATTAGAAAGTGGATGCAGGCCAAGAAAGGTTAGGAGAAGCAAGGTGGGATGTTGACCCACCCAGGAACCATGAGGGGTCTGGGAACTCCCTCCCCTAGCCAAGGGAAACCATGAGGGACTGTGCTGTTAGTGAGGGATGGTGCTATCAGGCCTAGATATTACGCTTTTCCCACTGTCTTCACAACCTGGAGACCAGGAGATTCCACTGGGTGCCTACACAACCAGGGCCCTGGGTTTCAAGCACAAAACTGGGTGGCCATTTGGGCAGACACTGAGCTAGCTGCAGGAGGTTTCTTTCATACCCCAGTGGTGCTGGAACGCCAGAGAGAGAGAACTGTTCATTCCCCAGGAAACGGGGCTGAAGCCAGGGAGCCGAGTGGTCTAGCTCAGTGGATCCCATGCCCACAGAGCCCAGCAAACTAAGATCCACTGGCTTGAAATTCTCGCTGCTGGCACAGCAGACTGAAGTCGACCTGGGATGCTCCAGCTTGGTGAAGGGAGGAGCATCTGCCATTACTGAGGCTTGTGTAGGAGGTTTTCCCCTCACAGCGTAAACAAAGCCAGCGGGAAGTTCGAACTGGGTGGAACCCACCACAGCTTGGCAAGGCCACTGTAGCCTGACTGCCTTTCTAGATTCCTCCTCTCTGGGCAGGGCATCTCTGAAAGAAAGGCAGCAACCCGTCAGGGGCTTATTGATAAAATTCCCATCTCCCTGGGACAGAGCACCTGGGGAAAGGGGCAGCTGTGGCGCAGTTTCAGCAGACTTAAACGTTCCTGCCTGCTGGTTCTGAAGACAGCAGCAGATTGCCCAGCAGAGCGCTCAAGCTCTGCTAAGGAACAGACTGCCTCCTCAAGTGGGTCCCTGATTCCAATGCTTCCTGATGGTAGGGGTCAACAGACACCTCATACAGGAGAGGTCCAGCTGGCATCTGGTGGTACCCCTCTGGGACAAAGCTTCCAGAGGAAGGAACAGGTAGCAATCTTTGCTGTTCTGCAGCCTCTGCTGGTGACACCCAGGCAAACAGGGTCTGGAGTAGACCTCCAGCAAACTCCAGCAGAACTTCAGAAGAGGGTCCTGCTAGAAGGAAAACTAAAAAACAGAAAGCAACAGCATCAACATCAACAAAGATGATGACCACGCAAAAGCCCCATCCAAAGGTTACCAACATCGAAGACTAAAGGTGGATAAATCCACAAAGACGAGGAAAAAACAGTGCCAAAAGGCTGAAAATTCCAAAAAACAGAACATATCTTTTCCTCCAAAGGATCACAACTCCATGCCAGCAAGGAAATAAAACTGGACGGAGAATGAGTTTGACAAATTGACAGAAGTAGGCTTCAGAAGGTGGGTAATAACAGAGTCCTCCGAGCTAAAGGAGCATGTTCTAACCCAATGCAAGGAAGCTAAGAACCTTGATAAAAGGTTACAGGAGCTGCTAACTAGAATAACCAGTTTTGAGAAGAATATAAATGACCTGATAGAGCTGAAAAACACAGCACAAAAACTTCGAGAAGCATACACAAGTATCAATAGCTGAATTGATGAGCGAAAGAAAGGGTATCAGAGATTGAAGATCAATTTAATGAAATACAGTGTGAAGACAAGATTAGAGAAAAAGCATAAAAAGAACGAACAAAGCCTCAAGAAATATGGGACTATGTGAAAAGACCAAACCTACATTTGATTGGTGTACCTGAAAGTGATGGGGAGAACGGAACGAAGTTGGAAAACACTCTTCAGGATATTATCCAGGAGAACTTCCCCAACCTAGCAAGACAGGCCAACATTCAAAAGAAAACCGCAAAGATACTCCTTGAGAAAAGCAACCCCAAGACACATAATCATCAGATTCACCAAGGTTGAAATGAAGGAAAAAATGTTAAGGGTAGGCCAGAGACAAAGGTCGGGTTACAAAGAGAAGCCCATCAGAATAACAGCAGATCTCTTTACAGAAACCCTACAAGCCAGAAGAGAGTGGGGGCCAACATTCAACATTCTTAAAGAATTTTCAACCCAGAATTTCATATCCAGCCAAACTAAGCTTTACAAGTGAAGAAGAAATACAATTCTTTACAGACAAGCACCAGGCCTGCCTTACAAGAGCTCCTGAAGGAAACACTAAATATGGAAAGGAAAAACTGATACCAGTCACTGCAAAAGCATACCAAAATGTAAAGACCACTGACACTTGAAGAACCTGTATCAACTAATGGGCAAAATAACCAGTTAGCATCATAATGACAGGATCAAAATAAATGCCCCAATTAAAAGACAAAGACTGGCAAATTGGATAAAGAGTCAAGACCCATCAGTGTGCTCTATTCAGGAGACCCATCCCACATGCAGAGACACACAT